TCCGTTCTCGGAGCCATTCCCCCAGGATAGGTGGAAGAGGACGCCCTGAGGAGTGTCTAACGAGGCCCTATGGTCGAGTGTAGGGCCTGTAGGCTAAGGTCAAGTGTAGTATTTGTTCTGAATCTTCTGATCAGTTTAATATCTGATCTGTGGTCCATCGTAAAAAGGAAAGAAAGAAAGAAAGAAAAAAGAAACAACGGCGGACACGGCAGGTTTGGAGTTATGCCCACAAAGATATGATCATGGTGTGAGTTTGAAACAGCAATTCGGGTAGAAAAGAATCGGCTGGGCTTTCCCCCCACCTTTTCTTTCCCCGTCTGACACCACGGCCGACTCCTGTAGTTGTGACACCCGGCCTGACACCACGGCTGTTGGTATTTTCATTGCTTTGTCGAACTCGGCACCTGTTTTCTTTGCCGGCGCATGTTTTTGTTGCTCATTTGATACTGAAAAGTGACATCAATGCCCCAAAAGAGAGTTAGGCTGCTGTTAAATGGGTTCCATATGATAAAAAGAGAATATAATGTAAAGAAGGGATAATTTGCGAAATACCCCCATACGTTGAGCTATATGCCAAAATGCCCCTGAAAGATGTCGGTAGAGCTGAATTCCCTTTTGAGCCAAAATCTTTGTGTTATGCCCCTGTCAGGCGGGCGTGCAAATTTTGCAATCTGGACCTGGCCGTTTGGGCCTTGGCCTTTTGCAACTGGGCCTTATGAAAGTTGGCAATTTCCAGGTATTTTGCAAATTTGGATGGTACCCGGTAGGGGTATATCACAAAGCTGGGGGTTCCAACCGACGCGAGGGGTCATTCACAAATTTTCTTTTTGTCAGAGGGGCATTCCGCTCTATCCACATGTTTCAGGGGCATATTGGCACATATCTCAACTTATGGGGGTATTTTGCAAATTATCCCTTTGAATAAAACGAAAAAGGACATTAAAAAAAAAGAAAGAAAAGAGAAAGAAAGGGAAACCAATCAGAGTTCTTAATACTTACTCTTTTTTTTTTTTTTTTTTTTTTTTTTTTACAGCAAAACAGCCTGAGAGGATTCTAGGGGTGCTGGTAAGAGCAGACACCACTAGCATTTCCCAGGAGGCTCCATCTATTGGTGGGGAGCAGCACCCGCTGGAAAGGGGGTCCAGCGTCCCTGAACATTCAGTTTGGAGCGGCACCTGCTGAAAACCGGGTCCAGCGTCCCATTCAAAATATCATGAATCAAGGGGATTGTTGTCTGTTGTTTTTGTGGCTGAGATCATTTCTGTTAACTACCCGGGGCTGTGATTGTCCCATGGAGCTGCTAGTAACACCCAACCCATCTAGGAGCCCCCTTTTGTTCCATGACCCAGCCCTGTTCGGCAGCCCCCTGTTCAGTGTTTCCCTCTCCGGCACTTGGCACCCTTTAAGCCCTAAACCCCTAGGCTACCAGAGTGGCCCGGGGTCAATTGCCCGGCCGGGCCAAAAAATATTTTAAAAATATAAAAAATAAAAATATTTTTAAATTTTGTTTTTTTTCCTAAATTTGGTGCATGATTTCGATGTGACCCTGAGGCAAAAGTTGTTCAGTTTATTTTTCTGCATAACATAGGTTTTTTCGGATTTTTTTGATTTTTTTTTTTTTTTTTTTTTTTGCTGGGACCTTCCCTGGTCCTTGCACGGGCTGGCCACTCGGGACCCGGGCGGCCCGGCTGGTAGCCTAGCTAAACCCTCATTAAAACCTTGCGTGCATTCCTAATCTTTAGAGTATGAAGATCTACCATGGGTGGAACATATTGCAGAGCAATGCAGGGCAGCGTAGCTGAATCTGTAGGGAGAGATTATGCCCGTGCATCTACCTGACCGAGTGTGTGCTTACTGCTAAGCAGATTAGACCGTTATGAGATGCGGGGTGCAGTGCAGCTGACTCTGCAGGCCGTGCAACTGCCTGACCGAGTGTGTGCTCAGCTGCTAAGCAGATTAGACCGTTGTGAGATGCAGGGCTGCCTGTGTTGCCATTTCTTGCACTGTCCCTGTCCCGTACTCTGTATCCTTACCTACTTCCTTTCTGACCCCACTGCTGCTTTTATTAGTCCCATCTACAGCAATCCATCCCTTGGTCATGCTGTTCTGAGTTGTGTGGTCAGCACAGGTCCCCCCAGCCCTTGTACTGGGGGGGAGCCGTGCTCACCACCATTACTTCTCGGGTCCGGCGCAGGGCGGCCATATTGTCATTGATGAGATACTGAGAAGACGTTGTGTCGTTGTTATTGTTGTCGTCTGTTTTCGCTGGAAGTTGCTGATGTGCTTACGATGTGAGTCGGCTGGACACCCGGTGGGGAGGGTCTGGAATTGGAAGAGGGGCAGGCGGAAATGTGGAGCAGGGCAGAGAGGGAGGGAGAGAGGGAGACAGCGTCAAGGGAGGGGGCTTTGTCAGTGGGAGAGGCGGAGGGGATGGAGGAGAGGGGGGACGGAGTGCAGGGTGGGGAGGTCGTTGAAAAGGTAGGGGGCGGCGAAAGTGTAAGGGGAGGGCGCCCGGTTGGGATCGGGGGAGGGGGTGTTGGGGTCGGGGGGGGCAAGTCAACCGGGAGGGGGGGAGGGGGCGAAAGGACAGGTGTGGGTGGGCAGGGCGGGAAATGGGGGGGCCATGGGACTCAGGCTCCCTTCTGCCATTGCGCCTGTAGTCCTACCTGGCAGTGGTGTAGGAAAGCATTATGTCGGTCTATAAATCCAGCGGTGGTCCTGTGCCATCCAGTTTTTCCACAATATCTTTCTGTTTTCCTGCACCCCGGCCAGTTTTTGGTGCGGGTCGATCCAGTTTTCCACAAAGGTCTGTAGTAATTTCTGCCTGGCCGCCTGGTCAGGGCTCGTTGCCATAGTCTCCACCAGTTTTTTTGCTGGCTTTTAGCATGTTTGCCCGGATGACCTCTGCTAGTTCAGCTTTGGCTTGGTGGAAGCCAAAAGCAGCGTCTTGCCTTTCAGCTGAGCATCTCATTCTCCATATTACCATGAGGAGAGTAAGCCTCATGTGCTTGAAGAGGTTTGCTTGAAAAGGTGACCACCTTGTCGGATAATCCGCAGGCTTGCCTAGGAGGATGAGAGCAATGTTCCATTGGAAGGCTGATCCAGTTATGTCATGCCACAATGCATCCCACCATTGTCACACCTGTACCGACAGCAGGCAGTGCTCCAAGTCAGCGCACCTGCGTTGTGCAGTACGGCCGTAGTGGGAGCAAATAGGGGACATGAGACCTACTTGCTCCAGGTTGGACCTTGGAGTTACCCAGACCGGTGTCGGAAGGCATCGGTGTGTGATCTGCCATTGCAGCGCTTGGTGGGATGTCGGCATAATGTGTGTATAGGTGGCCCAATGGATACGATGTAGATTCGTTTCGTCTACTGGTGAGTCCCTTTTCCACCGATTTTTTACCACCGGTGTAAAGATGTGCAGTGTGTATGCATGTTTGTAACCTTATCTCAACGAATACTGCTAGTGTAGGATCTCTCCCTTTCCACTCCCATTCGTCCGGGTCGAATGAGAGTGCACACACTAGGGTGGCCATTTCATAGGCAAAGTATCCTATGTTGTCTGAGCCCACCACCCTCACCCTAGTCAATCCTTCAACCGGGAGTGTGCAGTCCTGATCACTATCCCTTTTCAGCGGCGCTCACCGAGCCCCTGGCATGTCTGGTACGTAAGCTTGCAATTGCGCCTCTTGACCACTGCATTGACCTACCCTAAAGATGGTCATTGGTACGGTGTTCCTGACTATGACCCAGTCCAGACTGCGGATTGATGGGCCGTTTTGCAGGGCGATCACCCACGTGGGCGGGTGGCCCTGTGGATTCGGTTCAGCTTCTCCTGACTTTTCTTAATGCATGACAGGATTGGTCGCAGCTGTTCGGCTGTTTTCCAGTCACCCCTCTGGCTATCCCAAAGGTCTCCCACCGTGTAAATACCACTCCGCAGCTTGGGTTCTTACTAGTTACTACTTAGTACTTCATAAAGGGAAGCACACAAGCCACAAAGCAATAAATGGGTTCCATATGATAAAAACTTAAAAAGTTTAAAAACGCATTGCCAAACAAAAGTTGAGAGCTGGGCTTGTGGGTTCAATTAAAAAGAATTTTAAGAAACATACTAGTAAACAAACATCGGGAGCTGGGAGCCTACCAAGAGATCTGCTGTTCCCAGACCGTCCCAGACGAATTCTGGATTGAGGGGGGGGAAAGGAAAGAGAAAACGAAGTTCGAAAACCGGAAAAAGTTATGTCGGTCCGTTCTGCACCGATGGCTTGTATAGTGGATGCTGCCGCCCAAGGCTCTAGCCCAAAGGAGAGGGAGGAGGTGGCAGTGGGTTGCTGGCGGTCGCAAGTGCAGCAGCCAGGGAAAATGGAAAGAAGCAGAAGTAGAATAAGAAGAAGAGTGACAAACAGTGGCCAAACTGCTTTCAGTACATGCTTCTCAAGCTTCCCATTCCACATCCGCACGTGCAATCACTCAGCAAGAAGAAGAGAAAGGGAGGAGGAGGAGCGGAGGAGAAGGGCAGGAGCAGTAGGAAGAGGGGGAGGAGGAGGAGGAGGAGGAGGAGGAGGAGGAGGAGGAGGAGGAAGAAGAAGAAGAAGAAGAAGAAGAAGAAGAAGAAGAAGAAGAAGAAGAAGAAGAAGAAGAGAGGACAAAAGGAGGAGGGGCGGAGGAGAAGGGCAGGAGCAGTAGGAGGATGAGGAGGAAGAAGAAGAAGAAGAAGAAGAAGAAGAAGAAGACGAAGAAGAAGAAGAAGAAGAAAGAGAAGAGAAGAGAATCGGAGGAGAAGGGGGGGAGAAGGGGAGGAGGAGGAGGAATAAGAAGAAGAGGAGAGAGAAAAGGAGGGAACGAGGAAGAGAACCAGGAAGAAGAAGATGAGGAGGAGGAACAAGAGGAAGCAGAATAAGAGGAGGAGGAGAAGGTGGATGGAGTAGGAGTCAGGGCTGAGATAGTTATGCAGAGGGTTCAGTGTTCTGAATTGAAGAGCTAGTCCCGCTATGCTATGGAGCGCTTACCGCGTAGCATAGATTATCAATTGCAATGGCAGCAATGCATTGGTATCTGAACTGTTCAGGTCTTGGCATCGAGAATCCCCATTGCACAGGATTCTCCCATAAGTTTTTCCTCAAATAAAGATGCGCACGTGGCAGAGACTACTGTCGGGAGCCAAGCCACCAATGGCATGCCTTTCTTGCAGTGCTAAAACCAAAAAAAGAAAATCAAAGAATTCAAAATTTTGGAAAATAATTGCATT